AGACTTTTTTATCCTTCTTAATTTTGTTCTAGACAAAATTGTAATTGTAAACACTAATAAAAAATGTGGGAACAAAAACCAAAACCTGCCGCTTCTTGCCCTTTTTTGTTGGATACGCTTCTTTTATTTAGCTTTAGGATTCTTTTACATTATATCTTTTAGGTTTAAGATTCACTTTAGGTTAAAGTTGGTTTTAGGATTCAACAAAATTAATATTACTTTGGGTTTAGGATTCTTTTAATCGTAGTTTTTGTTTTCTCAAAATAGCAGGTAGTTGAATAAAGCAATTGTCTGCTTTCTCCACAAAATAGTTTTTGATTCCTCCACAAATTCGTTCAATTAAAATTTCTGGGGTTTTGAATAGAGCAACTGAAAATCAGGAATCAATCAATTATTTTGACGGTTCTTTATAAGCGATTTGTTGAATTACTTGTGAGTTATGTTGTTTATATTATTATTTGTCTTCTTACGTACCATAGTTATTTATTAGTACAATAGAAAAATTCTTTTACATTCCTTTTTCTTTGTTAATAAAAATAAAATTGTCTTTTATCATAACGATACAATTAGCATTATGAATCTTATTCATGCTTTCGTCGTTTTTTCTTTAATTTAATAAATGAAATTCTTGTGAATAAAGAGACCTATGAGAATTACAAACTAATCAGATTGTATTTTGCACTTTTTCTAAAATTAGTCTTAGTGTACGTGCGTTGCGCGTGTAACCCATATATTATATTTGTTTTAAGAAAAGCTTATTTACTTTCTTTAGACCTAAAATCATGTTTAAAAGAACATATAAGTTTGGATGCAGAAAGAGTTTTATTGTTTAATTCCTTCACATATCAGAGTTCCAAGAATAGTGTTTTTTTTTCTTTTAGAAAATGCAAATTTTCTTTTGTATTTTTGGTTATTAAATAATATTACGTGAGCTTTAAAATGTTGACACTAAAGATAATAAAATTTAAAAAGAAATTAAACAATATATTTAGGAACCTAGAGTCTAAAAACCTACATATCCTTGAATATGGAAAGAATGCTAGTTGATATATCGATTTTAGTTACAATTAGTTCTTATTTATTCTTTGTGGACTTCGCCTATATCCTGATTTTATTATATTTTGTAAAAGTTACTATTTTACATAATTCAAATAAGGAAAAATTTATACAAAAGATTTATATTAGAAATTTTTGAATATTTCGTATAGAAAAGGATTTAATGTACAATATTTAGTTGATTTAAAGCTCCTAAATGTTAGTAAGAAACTTAAACACAAGAAATAAATTCAAAAAAGAATAGAATAAGTAGTACTAAGTTGTAATCTCTTGTTTTGCGAAATGAAGTACTGGAAAGAAATAATCATATATATACACTAAAAAAATCTAAGAAATGTAAAACACTATCTTTCTCCCATCATCGGAGAAAAATACGTTAAGTCAAAGTGGCAAAATCATAGTTTATCTAGTTCTAAGTTCTAACTCCTATGTATTAATTAGTTCAAATTCATCGAATAACTAAGAAATTAGTTTTGATATCCAAAATTATAAACAACCGTTTTACCTCTAACAATTTTTTTTTTTTTAAAAAAATTACTTATAGAGAAGCAATATATTCTCAATTCATAATTACTGTGAAATAAACTTCTTACGTGAAAAATCAAATAAGGAAAATTATAATGAACAAGGTTTTAGTAGATTTCAAAGTATTAAATATTAAAAAATAAGTAAATGACTATTTGGTTCAATGTGAATTTTATTTTAAAAGGATAAAAAAGGAGAACGACATTTCGCTAATAACCTTTGTGCTTTTAATATAGTATAGATATAGATTATAGGAATTAACACATGTTTAATACAAAGGCTGATGCCATTATAGATGCCTCCTTGTTCAAGCTTTCATGAAATTCATCTACTCAGTGATTTCTTATTGTTTATGATATAAGGAGCATTGTTTGGCTTATTATTACTGAAAAAAATTGTGTGTATATATTGCGTGATTGACAAGCGATCACGTATATATGGACATAGTAAAAAGCTTACTTCTGTATATGAAGAGTTTGGTGCAAGTTTGAAGGAACTCAAAGTTAGTTTCAATGGACTTGCGCAGTACTTAAGAGCTCAGAATGTCCACAAAGAAGATTCAAAATATAAAACTAAAAAAAAAAGTAAATATACTAAGATGTTGTGGGAATTCAACAGATAATATATCTATATACATTCTTTTTAAGTGGCACCATAATTCAACCTTCAGAAGTTTGAAAAGTTGGGCATGAATAAAACTTGATAAGAGTTCTTTCAGAGTTCACTTAGGAAAATCTTACATTCACTTCTTGGTGTTTTTCGAATACTTCCATCATTATTCTTTATCGATTTATCTATTTTTAAGATGAGTAATTCACCTACATATGTTTAATTGCTTACTTTGCAGGATATTGTTCTGCATGTGGTTGTCGATATCATGGGCCTATATATGCTGTTTTTCAAGATTCAACAAATATTGTAAGCACAATAAACTATTTTTGTTTCTTTTGATTTTATTTGTAACCCCTTTTTGCCACTCTTAGGGGATCACAATAACCAATTAGAAAAAATAATAGAGGCAGTTTTTATGAATTAACTTACTAGAATAAAATAAACATGGCAATCTTCTTCTTCTTCTTCTTTGAAATAGGCTTTATCCTCCCATTTTTCAATATTCAGAGATGTTAGCTAACCATGTCAAGATTAAACATTTTCAGAAACTTATAATTTTTATTAAATATTTATTTTATAACTCTAGCATATTTATGAAATATAATGTATGTTATTTTCAAAGTTTGGGATATAAAATTCATCATTTTCAAGAGCTTGTATTAATTTAAAATTATATTTTATAACCCATTCACATAGTTTAAAAATATTTGTGTGATTTTAAAAATCTTATATTCATGGATATAGATTACACGTGCAGCATGCATATCCTAAAATTAATCATTTTAGAAGTCTATAAATGCTAGAGCTCTCAAAACGGGTCAGCCCAGCCCAGCCTAGCCCAAGCCTTATGGGCTTTTAAATTTAGTGGCTAGGACGGGCTGGCCCGCCATATGAATGGGCCTTAAAATGGCCAGCCCAATCCAACCCTAAGAGGGTCGCGGGCTAGGGCGGGCCGACCCTTCAATTTTTTTAGAAAAAAGAATTTCTTTAAATTCTTAAATATTTTTTCGTGACGTAGTCGATTAATCATATAAACAACTTTTGTTTGCTTAGAGCGTACAAAAATCTTGATATTTGACGAGAAATCTCGTAATTGAAATGCAAATTCTCTATATCTCTAGCTCTTCTTTTTTAAAGTTACATGAATATTTTCTTAATACTTTTCTTTCATTTTTCTCAGATTCAGAGATTGGTTCAATAAGTTTATATGCTGGGGTTTTTTAATTTATGATTAACATCATTTGCTGATTTCATCATTATAATCCATAAAATTTTTAAAATTCCTTAAATTTGCTAGTGATCATTTTTTTAATTTAAAATTAATCTTTTTCTATACAGAAGAGCATTTTAAATATTAATAATATATTAAAGTAATCCTAACTGATCATTGGCCACTTAAAGTAATATTTTCTTTTGAAAAAAATATTATTATTGGCCACCTAAAACTATTTGAGTTCGTTATTAATTAAGCAAAAGAAAAACTAATTTTATCATATTACATGCATGTCAAAAATTTAAATTTTAGTTGATATGGAAGGTTAAATGAGCAATATAGGGTTGGAGAATGAGAATTATAGTTAATAGTTTTTTTAGTTTTTACTTTTTAAAAATATTAAATAGTTAATTAATTTGAATTTAATTAATTTTTGGCCTACGGGCCGGCCCGGGCCCAACTCGGTTAAGCCTCAAGGGCCAACAGGCTGACTTGGGCCGGGCTTATAAGCCTCAATTTTAAATGGGCTCAAAAAATTCTAATCCAATCCTACCCAAGTAGCGGGCTGGGTTGAGCTGGCCTCACGGACCAAACTCATTTTGACGGTTCTAATAAATTTTGATAGTATTTGAAGTATTACAACTATAACCTATATATGATAGTTAGGGGTGACAAAACTAACCCCTCATTTGATCCGCCCAACCCGTCCAAGTTTTAATGGGTTTGGGCTGGAACAGTTTTGGAGATGGGGTGTTTTGGGCTAACCCAAGTTAACTCATAAAAAATTATCAGCCCAAATGGACCCATGATAATACCCAACCTTGACTCATGGAAATGCTCAATCTTAAAGTTCTACCTTGACCCATTTTTGCAAAATATTTTATTTTTTCCATGTTTGGTTTGTTTAAATGTTTGAAAAATATTTTCTTTATGAATTCGTTTTTCTCCAATTGGTGGAAATATTTTCCGTATCAAGAGAAGAAAAAATATTTTCCAAAACTGTTTTTCAACCTTCTCCATCTCCACCANTAGAGTACTTTATTTTCATGATGTAGAAAAAATATTTTCTTTCATATCAACAAAATGAATACTTTTTTCATGACGTAGAAAAAATACCTTCTTTTATTTCAACAAAATAAGTACTTTATTTTCATGATGTCGAATAATTTATTTAACTAATCGTTATTGACAAAAATAATCAAAAATATCTGAAAATAAAAAAAATACATTATCACAATAGAAAAAATAATAAATAAAATTTATATCAATAAAATAAAGGACGATAGTGAACTTTTTTTAGGTATTACAATAAAATAAAAAAAAGTATTTATTTTAATAAAATTAAAGAAAATACTTTTTGTACTGCAGAAAAATAAAGTATTTATTTTGTTGAAAAAGAAAATAAGAAAGTTCTCTAGTCTAGTGAATCGGTATGCACGGGAGAAACCATTTGCTCTCATCCACGTGTCGCCTTTTACATCACCCACCTTTCACTCTCTCCACACACAACCGCCGGCATGACTTACAACTCACACATTTCCTTTCAATAAAATTTAAAACTGCCCCCTCCCGCAACTCTTTTTTGACTTTCCCCAAACAGGCCCCCCAAGGCGTTCTCTTTAATCTTCTCCTGCCACGTCAGCATTTCTTGTCGCTGATTTCCTTTCCTTCCTTTTCTTTCCGTTCAGTTATTGTAATTTTTGTTTGTTACGGGAGGAAAAAAAAAGAAGTTATATGGAGTATATATTTATAGAGTTTTATTATTTATGCAAGTATAAAAGTATAATTTTGGAATACTAGTATGATATATGCTAAATGCATCCATTTTGCTGTGTTAACAACAACAATCGCGAATCCTCACCGTTACCAATGCCTCCGCCTCCGCCGCCGGTGGCGGAATCTACTAGTAGATCGGCTGACTTACTGAACCGCTCCTCTAGCGGGAATAATTACAATTACAATCATAATAATAATTGGAGCGCGAATAACTCGAATCATCATCTTCGTCATCGGAGTTTGACAGAGTCATCATCGTCGTCAACGGCGGCGATTTTCACATCTCTATCACGGCCGCCGTCGATGAGGGAGGCGATTCAGTTGACGTGCGTTGCCACTTCCGCCGGCGATCAAGTGAAGATCAACGACATCGTCGGGAACGGTATATCGGGAATTTTATACAAGTGGGTGAACTACGGCAAAGGATGGAGGCCTCGTTGGTTCGTGTTGCAGGATGGAGTTTTATCTTATTACAAGATCCATGGACCGGATAGGATCGTTGTGAACTCGGAAACTGAGAAAGGATCCAAAGTTATTGGCGAAGAATCGCTTCGGAGAATCTCGAGGACGCGGCCAAATAAGATTACTAATGTTTCTACTTCTCAGGCTCGCCGCAAGCCCGTTGGTGAAGTTCATCTCAAGGTTATACTTCTACTACTTATATATTTCAGTTACCGGTTTTTTACCATGTTAATGAATTGTTTCAAAGTGCTTTGTGGAATTCCAATTTTATCGGATGTCCCTAGTGGAATTGAAGTTTAGTTGTTACATGCTGAGGTTTCTGGAAAGAAGGAAATTACAGAAGTGCTTTTTTTCACTGTAATTAAATATGTTTTTTAATTACAATGATCATCCTTACTCTTATGAGTTTGTTGAAGAAATTGGAGATTCAGTATCCTGACATATATTAGGTGCGAATGCAGAGTTTGCTTGACATAGGCACTGCGCCTCCCTTAAGCCGTGCTTCTGGGTAGGCAAGGCATGATCTCATTACTCATGAGTTCTATCTTGAATGAGTGGTACAAAACAATAAATAAATTGGCTAAGAGATATATTAATTGTTAATGAAAACATTATGAATGAACTTGTAATTTTTTCTCACATTATAGATATATTTTTATTTTTTTCTTCATTGTGCCTTTTTTAAACTAAAGCTTATGCTTTAACTGCGCTTTGTGAATAAAGCGCCAATAGACCCGGAATGCTTTTTAAATTCTTCGCCTTTGATCACACTAGTGGGGATGGGAGGATGAGGCAAGACTACTCCTTTGAAGAAATTTTTAAAATTTTCAGCACTTTGAAGGGTAAAATCTGGATTGTTAAAAGTAACCTCTCACATCCTTAGAAAACACTCTTCCCCTAAAGTCTGCCCCTTATTCCCTTGTACGTGGTGTTCATTTTGCTTAGTCTTATGGTGGTGATAGTTTCTTTTCTTTTGGTCAATTAGTTCTTTGCTTAATTTTTCTAGATATGCACTTTCTCTGAACTGCTAACCTCTTTATCGTGATTACATATCTTTTTAACAATTGAGTAGTCTTTGCTAGGTCTCGTCCATCCGCGAGAGTAGATCAGATGACAGGAGGTTTTCGATTTTCACTGGAACAAAGAGGCTGCACCTGAGGGCTGAGACTAGAGAGGACAGAATAGCATGGGTGGAAGCATTGCAAGCTGTGAAGGACATGTTTCCCAGATTGTCCAACAGTGAGTTAATGGCTCCAGTGGACAATGTAGCTGTCTCAACAGATAAGTTGAGGCAACGGTTGTTGAAGGAGGGTGTGAGTGAGGCTACTATTCAGGACAGCGAGCAGATTATGAGGAATGAGTTTGCATCTTTGCAGAATCAACTGATGGTACTTAAGCAGAAGCATTGGCTGCTGATGGACACCTTGAGACAGTTAGAGGTACCTAGCATGACTTGTAGAAAGCATCAGTATTCTTTTTCAGTTGCTTATGTGATTCTGAATGTGAAACCGCTTTGAAATCTTCTCAATTGATTGCTCTTTTGGTTGGTGGCTAGTGTCTAACTGACTGTTATTCTTGAGATTTTTTCAGGAATACCGTAATAGTACTTATTTTGTTTGTTACCTTAAAAAGATATGTAATCACAATAAAGTGGCCCATATTGATTTTTCACTTGTTCAATGATAAAGTGGCACATATGTTGCTCAGTTGTACTTAGTGGCAACTTTAAAAACAAAGGATCTGAGAAACAAAATTGGGCCTATTTCTCTTTATGTCACCAGATGAAAGAGAGTGTCATGCTTGTGATGAAGTGACTCGTTTGTGGCTATGCTGCCTCCTTTCTTGTTCATGATAGAGTTTATGTTTTGTCTCCTAAATGAAGATACTGTGTGTCATTTGTTTCTTATTTGGTTCCTTCACCTAGAAAAACCTGATTTACTGTTTTCTCTTTTTAAAAGTTCTCAAGGACGTTTAAGCTTATCACATGCTACCGGAAACAACCTCTCTACCTTCTTGAAGGTAGGAGTAAGGTCTGCGTACACACTACCCTCCTCAAACCCTACTTGTGGGATTACACTGGGTGTGTTGTTGTTGTACACGTCTCCTATGTATGGAGTCTTTATTACTGTTATTGAGTAGAGGCACCAAAAGGACAACTGATACACTAAGCTTTCTCTATGCGCGCGGTCCAAGGGAGGCCGTACTACAATGGATGTACTGTACACAACCTTCCCTTGCACTTCTGCTGGAAGTTGCTTTTATGGCTTGAACCCGTTGTCGCTTGGGCACGTGGAGGCAACTCTTATGTTGCTTCAAGGCTTCTCTTCTAGTAGAGGTACCAACAACAATAACTACACTTCAATCCCAAGCAAGTTGGGCTCGAATATCTACTTCTCACTTTCTATATCACTCCATTTGGGCCCGTATCACACCAATATCATAAAAATTAGTTTCTCTAACACTGAAGGTTCTCTATATTTTCTATTGACATATTAATCTCTCATTGAAAAACTAAAAGATTCCTACCGAACATTGGATTGGAGTAGAGACACCGTGAAATTAAAAAAAGAAAAAGTTTCAAAAAAATCAAATGGATCTGACTTAGAGGCTAATAGCTGGAGCCATGGAAACATTCCCTTCCAATACATGGTAAGGCTGTGTATAGCAGGTGAATGTATAGTGATATGCTCGGTTGATGCGATGGACAATAACATCTATAGATGTTTCATTAGATACCAAGCCATTTTGCTTGCGGCATTACGTGAATGTACAATTTGGCCTTACCTGGTGTCCTCCATTGACCTAAAGGAGCTGAATTGAAGAGGATCTCTGATTATGGAGAGAAGGGGAGGAGGAGGAAGAAGAAAGGGAAGTGACGAAACTTACCTGTAGAGCACTGCTGCTTGATCTGGGAAAGAGAGAGAGACACTTGATGCGTTTTGTCTTAGGATGGAGAAAGAGAGTATGACAATCGAAGTGGACGGCCCTTCAGTTCTTACAAGTGCGGAATTCTGATTGTTTTGCGAATTGGAAACTTTATTAACTTGTGTTAGGAAGGAGAAAAATAATAGAGTTTTGATGCCTTAATTTGACCATATTTATGACTGTCTCCTCTTTCCTTCTTTTTAAGTTATCGACCCTATCTTCCCCCTTTTCTTTTCCTCCTTTCTGTTGTCTTTCCATTTGTGGCGAAATTTCCTGCATTTGGATATGCTCCCTCGACGCCATATCATTTGTCCTAGTTAAATGGGCACATATTTTTAGAGTAATATATTTGAAATTATAGTCGTTAAGAGAGATAGGGATCCAAAACTAAAGGATAAAGGTTAAGTTTCGGTATATGAATTTTTTGAATATTAAGGAGACGTGATGAATAGTCACACTCTTTTAATCTTTAATTATCTAACCTTAATTTACCAAGAAAGATAATCAACACTATCAATCAAAAGTCTTGATGGGCATACCAAAATACTTTGATGGTTTCAAACAGAGCTGACAGTAGATAAGTTGCATTGTATTTCAATATTGGTTGAGCAACATGTCCAAAAATACTAAATTAAAAAAATAAAATAATATTAATGTCTACATCTAGAGTAGGAACCTCATCGTTTACCTACTGGATTTCTGTAATCGTAATGTGAAATACTAGATGAAGAAGCTAGATGAGACATCTATACCTCATTTCAGGGCTTGGGTTTCATTCAATCGAAGAGTTGGAAACTTTTGGTTTTTAACAAGTTCATTGCCCCCCTCCCCCAGAGAAAAAGTATGATAAGATTTTTTCATGTTTTATCATTTAAAAGGAAAATTTCAGAACATAAAAGTGAAACATAATCAGGCATTAGTAACCGAAGTGGCACTTAGTTAAGTTACAACTTTTCCTGAAGGGATGACAAGTACAACAAGAACAACAATAACAACAAATCCAGTATAATCCCACATAGTGGGGTCTGGGGAGGGTAGTGTTCCTTGTGGAGATAGAGAGACTGTTTCCAATAGACCCTCGGCTCAGAGAAGCATAAGCAGCACATTAAAGAAGAGAAAAAACAAGAATCGCAACAGTGAGAAGCCATGTAAAAGCAGCATAAATAACAACCAAATAGTCAGGAGACCGCAATGAAAGAAATGACAGGTAGTCATAGAAATCTAATGCCAACAGAATACTAAAGTACGTGCTAATACTACCGGTATGACACGGAGAGCACTAAACTAACTACCCTACTACCCCAATCTTCGACCCCAACACCTTCCTATTAAGGGTTATGTCCTCGGTTTGCTGAAGCTGCGCCATGTCATGTCTAATCACCTCACCCCAATTCTTCTTCGCCCTACCTCTACCTCTCCTTAGGCCTTCCAATGCCGACCTCTCACACCTCCTGACCGGAGCATCAGTGCTCCGCCTCCTCACATGTCCAAACCATCTAAGCCTCGCTTCCCGCATCTTGTCCTCAATTGGAGCCACACCCACCTTGTCTCGAATAACTTCATTCCTAATCCTATCTAACCTTGTGTGCCCACACATCCATCTTAACATTCTCATCTTGACAACTTTCATCTTCTGGACATGGGAGCTCTTGACTGGCCAATATTTAGCCCCATACAAATAGTCGGCCTGGCTACATCTCTGCAGAACTTACCTTTGAGTTTTGCCGGGACCTTCTTATCACACAAGACATCGGAAGCAAGTCTCCATTTCATCCATCCCGCCCCAATACGATGTGTGACATTTTCGTTGATCTCCCCATCCCCCTGTATAATAGACCCAAGGTACTTAAAAGTTCCTCTCCTAGGGATGACTTGTGAATCCAACCTCGCCTCCCCTTCCACTTCCTGAGTCATCCCACTGAACTTACACTCCAGGTATTCCGACTTAGTCCTACTCAACTTGAAACCTTTAGACTCTAGGGTCTGCCTCCACATCTCTAACCTCGCGTTAACGCTGCCTCGCGTCTCATCAATCAATACAATGTCATCTGCAAATAACATGCACCATGGCACCTCCCCTTGGATGTGGCGCGTCAAGTATACCCGAATTTTTAAAAAATTGGAGGAAAATACGAACTTGCTCGGTATTAGACACTTGTTTTGCAAACTTCCTATTAGTTTCGTCGTTGGATGGGTGTGCAGTTGGATATATGCACTATAAGGTTGATGTCGGTATTTCTAAAGTTTTCTTACTTACTATGTCTACTGCTCTTGTATGTCTTTTAGACTTCCTCTCATATGCTTTTGACGTTATGGGCATGTTAATGGTCAGTAAACTTATTTGAATAAACTGTAACGATTCTACAGTAGAGATTTTCTTATATGCAATATCTGGAATTTGTTACAGTGACGTGCTGCGTAGTTGGGATGTCCATTCAAATGTTTGATCCGTTCTTGATGTTGGTGCAGCCTTCAAAAATAAGGAATAGAAAAAGAGGTGTAGTTTGCCGACTACTACTCTGGTTTTTTGTTCTTCCCAAAGACAAGAAGTTTTTCTTTCTCTATTGTTCTTTCATCGTCTTCTTGGACAGACTTGATTTTTCAATTTTAGACCAACACCTTACACCCACCCCTCCTGCAGGTTGCTGGTCTTGTTGCTGGATATTTGTTGTGTCCTAGCGAAGTAGTTAAACCTAAGTTGCGCAGACTCTTCATTTTTGGTGCAGCACCTGTCTCGACACGGGACGGGAGTGGGATACGTCCCGGATTCGGTCAACTAACTTTGGATACTTTGACCTGTGTCCATCGATAAATTGTGGGGGAAATTGAGATTTTGATTTCTCAAAATTAAAAATAAAACAGATTTAAGGCATGAGAAATGGCATACCTTTAATATTGTAGTACTTTTGTCTCATATTTGCTGCTTTATGTTCCAGAAAAACCAAGAATTCAAGGGGTCGTGTTCTGAGTTCGGACTTATAGCTCTATTTTTTATAATTTTGAGTTTTTTTAGCTGAATCCCCGCACCTGTATCTATACCTGGATCCGCACCCCCGAATCTTAAATTTTAGATTTTGCCGAATTTGACACTTGGATCCGTGCCCGTATCAGATGCCCGCACCCGAGTCCGAGCAACTTAGGTTAAAACTCATTGCCCACTTAGCTTTTCAGATTTAGTTCTGATCTTTGGGGTTTTGATTATTATATTATATCTGACATTGGAGCTATTAACCCAAAACTCTTGAGTTTTCCGTCTTTAATATTGACCTCCATTTCTCTAGTGACAAGCAGCATAGAACTTATAGAAGCACCCAGGGATGGAATAGCTTTGATACTGTTAATTTGAGCTAGAAAGAAGAGAAATATGTGCTAATACCCGATAAATGCCGAATATTTACCGTTTTGTTTTTTATCCTCTAGTGAATTTCTGCCTGTTGGATTCAATAGGATAGATCCACACCGGAGTAAAGTCATTTTCTCTTTCGTTGTAGTGTGGGATTTGTGGTGGTACAAGTATTTGATCTAGATAATTCCGTCACAGTTCTACTTTTCTGTGAACATTCTCTTTCTCTTCCCTTTACATGTGTCAATATGACTTCACTATATGTAAGATGATTTGCTTCAGCAATTCATCAATTGAAAGATGACAATAACCACTTCACTTGATCAAAAAGAAAAGAGAAAGAAAGATGACACTAACATTATTGGCCACCAGAAAATAAGGTATTGGATCTTCGTTTTGCAGACAGAAAAGGTCGATTTAGAGAATACCGTGGTTGATGAGAGTCAAAGGCAGTGGAAAGATGTTGGGCCATCTACTAGATTAAGGCAGGATAAATACAGTGGTATGGCTCGATTTGTTTTTGTCTTCGTTTTACTTTGTTACATATTGTTCCAAATTGTTGCCATTGGTAAAACTGAATCAAGATTGTCATACTTTTTTTTCGTCTTAAGATTCCTATTTTTCAATATCTATAAGTGCTACTCCATTTGTTCCATTGTATATGACACTCTCCTGCCAGTCTGCTCCAAAAGAATGGCAAATTCCTCTATTTGGAAACTCTTCAACTTCAAATTTTCCATTTTACCGTTAATGACACGCTCTTATAGCCATGTAAATGACATGGCATTATTTAAGAGCACAAGTTTTAAGTGGACTTTTGGTATGTGTCAAAAGTCTTTTCTTTCTTATACTTTCTTCCTAGTCAAACACCGCCATATAAAATGATACATGGAGAGTTTAAAAAATTTGAAAGGTTTCACATCCGATGTGATTTGGTTTGAACTTCTGCAGATCAAGAGGATCACTGTGGTGTGTGCAGCTTGGATATATTTTGTGTTCACCAATTTTATCCTTACCTTTAAATCCTCTTGGATGTTTGTTCCAGAAGCAAGTGCAAGTGAATCGGAGGATGACAATGAAAGAGTTGATGCTGCTGAGGACGATACTGATGATGAAGAGAATGCTTTTTTTGACACTAGGGATTTTCTTTCATCAAGTTCTTTTAAAAGCAGTGGTTCTGATTTTCGAACATCATCTTTCTCTTCAGACGAGGATGATCTGTATGCATATGCATCTGATGAAAGTGTTGACCCTGTTATTAGATCTGCTGGAACCAAGTTTCCTCATGTCAAGCGTCGCAAGAAATTGCCTAATCCCATTGAGAAAGAGAAAGGAGTCAGTCTGTGGTCGATGATTAAAGACAATATCGGGAAGGATCTCACAAAAGTCTGCCTCCCTGTGTACTTCAATGAACCTCTTTCTTCCTTGCAAAAATCGTTTGAAGACTTGGAGTACTCATACCTTCTTGATCGGGCTTCAGAATGGGGAAGAAGGGTAAGCAAACAAGTTCTCTTCACCGTTTGGATAGATTTGTTAGAATTATTTGGATACAGTAATTCGTCCTATGTTAGTAAAAGTAATGCATCTTCATCGTGTTAAAATTATTTGGGGCATTTTTCTGATGCACAGGATAATCAAGACGTGGTTCTTTTATTACTTTTTACCTTTCACCACAAATTGCCTGAACTAAGCCAAAAGAAGGATAATAGCATAGATATTGTATATATTTTTTTATTCTCGTTTGCTAAATGCTTGAAATGATTTTTGGCCACGATCTTCTCTCCTAGTTGTACGATATTGCGTTCCAAATTTTTGTGCCATCTCTGATGGTTTTGGCACTGGTATTGCTTTGAAGTTTTAAGACACTTTAAATTAATTTCTCGCACATGCAATAAAAAAGGAGGAAATAAATCATGGTATTTAGACAAGACGGGGAGGAGAGGGGTTCCCTTGGCCCTCTGTATTCTGGTGCTGCACGTATTTGAACCCATAACAATTTTGTAAAGCTTCATATGTTCTTGTTTGCAACTTCTTTGGTATTATTATGTGTACTAAGCACTGCAATTGCAGTGCAATTCTAGAACTCCTATAGTTCAAGCCTAGTATAACCACTGGTGTGTACCTATCTAATTTATTATTCTGTTTCACATTTGTCATCTATTTGATTTTTCTATATTCAAAGTGATTGATAGCAAATAACTTTTCTCTCCCTCAAATTACTGGAGCTTCTCTTTCTCAATCTGCCTGAATATCTTAACCTTTTGCTTCTGCAAGTATTCAGAAAATATATTATTTTAGCTTCTTATAATAGAACGGAAAGGTGATAGAAGTTTCATAAAAACGATCCAACTTTGTTTGGGTTGAAGTTTGTTTGATTGATTGATATATATTTAATCTGCTAAGAACCCATTTCTTCATGTAGTTGGAACAATGAATATAATGTGGCTCTACCTTAGCTTAGGAATAATCTATTCGAACTTCCATCTCTCATTGTCCATATAGCTGTAGCTGATTTTGCATTTATCTTTAACTAGTATGGGATAACTGCAAATGTATTCTTTGAAAAGCTTAATGGTGATCTTTCCACTTTGCCGCCCGGATCTTCACGATATCCCATTTCCTCTTTCTCTTTTACGAGGTGCATCGTCTGTTGCCTTTTTTTTTTCTTCCATTGATGAACTAAGTGACCTTTTTCGTTTCTGAAAAAATGCAAGTATGATCATTACATGGTCACTGGCATGACACATTGGTATCTTCTTGAACTCCCTTCACTCATAGGTGAGCTTACAGACTTTTGCTTTCTTTCCTGGTCTGTTGGCGTATGTCTCTGTAGCAAGTGCGGTTATGTTTTTATTGGTGTGTTCATACAGCTGTCATGCCATCTCAACTCTGAATTGATGCTTATAATAGTTGCTCACTTTCAGTTGTTTTTTCTGGCAAGACTAATGGTTAGCACTTCTTTTCATCTTTCTTCTTATTCACCATTATTTACAAACTTTTACCAGTTTTCAGGTGTCATTGTCCTCATCCTAGTACCTGTAATATGAGTTTGTGCTGTCTACGTTCATTGTAATTGGTAATTGTTAAAATAAAGGAAAAGATTCATCACCATTTTGAGTGCTTTTCCTTCGTCAAAAACTTTCTAGTGGTTTTCCGTCTTAGTTGCCATTTATTCACATAAGCATTATATGTTAGCCATTTTGCACTATCTGTGCAAGGTTCTGATTTTAATCTCATGTTATTGATAGGGTGACAGCCTGATGAGGATTCTCAACGTAGCAGCATTTGCCGTATCTGCATATGCCTCTACTGAAGGACGGATTTGCAAACCATTCAATCCGTTGTTAGGGGAGACTTATGAGGCTGACTATCCAGATAAAGGCCTCCGGTTTTTCTCAGAGAAGGTGTCATTTTGTTTATGGAATCAGTTATCAGTTTCTTATACTTTTTCTCTCTTCAAGGTGTTCTTCCTTAGTTTCTGATTATGGCGGAGACAATGGCCATTACGAGCTTCCAACCTATCATGGAATTGATGTTTATGGAATCACTGTGTCTCTATTAATGCTTTTCATTTTTCCTGTCTTTACATTATTTTGATTTCCTGATGCAACTGTATTCGTGGAGGTGCTTTGTGGTAATTAAGTAGTAATTTTTGTTAGTCTCTAGTTGAGAGGTCTTGAGGAGGAAGTTTGGGAGACTGGTGGTGTTAAGTGTGGGTTACTTTCCCAGTGGCTCTTTTTTTTGGGTGACATTTTTTTTAACCCCTCCCTAGGAGCTCCCCATTTTTCTCCCTTGGTGACTCGAACCCACAACCTCAAGGTTGGAGGTGAAGGATGCTTACCACTTGAGCAATCCTCTCTTGTCGGGTGACAGTTAATTTGCAAGCAAGAGTCTGTAGCTTGAAATGTTTCCAAGGCTGCTAGAGAGCATGTCGCTGATGTCTGATATATTTCTCTCCTTGTTTAGGTAAGTCATCATCCCATGATAATAGCATGCCATTGTGAGGGTACAGGATGGAAATTTTGGGGAGATAGTAATTTAAAAAGCAAATTTTGGGGTCGCTCAATTCAGCTGGATCCTGTTGGTATATTGACACTTGAATTTGATGATGGAGAAATCTTCCAATGGAGCAAGGTATTTGCATATGGGCACTTGAATATTTATCCTCTATTTAATCATTACATAATGATTAAATTTCTTATTTGTCATACTCATCTATAAATCTTCCAATGGAGCAAGGTATTTGCATATGGGCACTTGAATATTTATCCTCTATTTAATCATTACATAATGATTAAATTTCTTATTTGTCATGCTCATCTATAACATGGGAATAATCTTGTAATAGGTAACTACATCGATATACAATCTGATTTTGGGAAAACTGTATTGTGATCACTATGGAACAATGCGCATACAAGGAAGTCATAATTACTCTTGTAAGCTGAAATTCAAGGAGCAGTCAATTATAGACCGGAATCCCCATCAGGTTCTTTCTATTCTCGGCATCCTGCATGAAAATGCAAGAAACCTCATCTTTTGATGCTTCCACTCTCTGAAGTTTAGCATTAGACTATTATGCGAACAGAATGGTAATAATCCAACATGCTGTGGATGTATCTTTATGAAAAATTTTCCCTAGCTTGAAGTTATTGTGAATTGGGCTATGCAGCAAAAAAGATTAGAGTAAAAGCAACATTTGTGTAGGTGCAATTCATGTGTGCTCAGAGAGTTAATCTGATAAATAGTTGGTTCATTCAGATTTCCTGCTTTGTGTTTGGTGCAAAAGATTCCTTGTAAAATTTCCTTAGGTAATTAAACCCAGTGCTCTTTGAATTGTTAACATTTTGTAGAAGAAAGGGCTAACACAAAGATGCTACGATGTTAGCTGATTTAGTAAATTGAGTCTGTAGGAAAAAACCGAAAGAGTTTCATGTTTAAATGCACAAAATATTTTTTCAAAGCTAAAGCTGGAAGTAATCAATATGCTGTTCACCCGCAGAAGGAGAGGAGAAAAATGAGACACCTATGCTAAATGAGACTTCTGTGGCTTGCAAGTCATACTTACAGGAAATGTAGACAAAGTACTAGGATCCCAGTTGCGCCTCACTGTATCTTTGATGTCTGAAGAGGTTTCTTTGGTAGTTTCTTGATTTTGCAAATTCTGTATAATTGACATGAGGGATGTTATCCCCTTTTTTTCTTCTGAAATGGTTTATTATATAAGTTGGACTGATTTAGCTTCAGACTGAGCATGCTGCTTTTAAATTTCCTTTTTGCAGGTACAGGGGATAGTCCAAGACAGGAGTGGGAAGACAGTAGCTACACTATTCGGGAAGTGGGATGAGAGTATGCACTATGTGAATGGAGATTGCTCCATAGGAAAAGGATTTGATTCTGTCTCTGAGGCTCATTTGCTGTGGAAGCGGAGCAAACCTCCCAAAAATCCTACTAGATATAACCTGACACGCTTTGCGATTACAATGAATGAGCTCATCCCTGGATTGAAGGTATGGTATAGATCTATTTTCTTTGAATGATCACCTTCTTGGGGAGCTAATTTGTTGGCACTGATTGTTACTGATGGAAATTCTTAAAACCCTCTTTAGTACCTATTTTGTTAATCCAAGTTTAGGTTTGGTTTCTAGGATGCCTGCTGAAACTTCATCTTCAACTCCCATTGTGCTTCATTGCAATGCACTAGGAAGTTTTCAGGCTTTAATTTAGCTTGCATAGTTGTGCTGTTAGATTTGTGGCCATAGAATAGTAAAGCAGTAGTGATATAAAAGTATGTGTAATCATCTGCACACGTCATCTGCTCTTACCTTAGTAGATAACTTTAACTCTCCACATTCTTTCCGTTCCTGGATGACCTTGGTTTTAATATAATTTTATTTATAGGACCAGCTGCCACCAACAGATTCTAGACTTAGACCTGATCAAAGGTGCTTGGAGAACGGCGAGTATGACAGTGCTAATTCAGAAAAGTTGCGACTTGAAGAACGGCAGCGACAGGTAACTTTAACAGCCAATACTCTTCTGTTCAAAGGTGAGATTCATGACCCGACTAGTAAATGAGAGGAAATTCTTTTTTCCTTGTTTGTTCATTTACTTTTGAGAAGAGAACTGTATTGCAGTTTGTTTCCAGTTTCCTACCCTTGTGCCCATTGTTGCTTCAGATTTCTACCCACTGAATTCTTAACTAATGTTCTTAGAATTCTGAACAAATCTGGGCTCTTTTATTTAATAGATGTTAAAGTAGATGATTTGCGTTTTTTAGCTTAAAACTTCTGTTTAATCCTGAAAAGGGTGCATATTCTAGTTGTTGGTTCTAAAAATGTAATAGAATGCGTAAAGTAGCATTTGTTGTGTGTCTAGTTGAGCAAGTCAAGTTATTGTTACTTATTTGCAGGCTCGGAAAATGCAAGAGAGGGGTTGGAAGCCGCGGTGGTTTGCAAAAGACAAAGGGGGTGATACTTACCACTACATTGGTGGTTATTGGGAAGCAAGGGAAAAGGGCAAGTGGGAGGCATGTCCTGATATTTTTGGCCATATCCCTTCTGATCAGATGTAAAGAATGAGTGAGCTCTAGCCATTTCCGGCTTATTATTTCATTTCTTGCAAATATTTTACATCTCATTATACAGTAGTGGAAAAGTTTAAATGAGCTGCAAATTGTCCATGACATACTTGTAAAGTACTTTGAATGCCTTGACGTAATAAAGGTTTTATTCTTTTTCCTCTTCCATTCTCGATTTTCTTTCTTTCACATTAACAACCGTGTCATGGACAAGTCTTCATGGGTGTACGCTTGGGCCCGCTATACAGAGGCGGAGCCAGGATTTGAAATTATTGGGTTCGGTATTCTATTCTTTTTAAGTTATTGAGTTTTAAATTGATAATTTGTACATATTTAATAAATTTTTAATGACAAATATCAAGTTTGGATCAAAGTAAATAGGTTGGACGGATTTTACAGTCTTGACAATGGAGTTGGATTGTTTGAGGTTCCAACGTGAGCGTGAAACCAATGATAGTCAGCGTATTCTCCGTAATGTGTGCGTGGCATGACACCTCTACTGTTTGCTGCTGCCGCGCGATATTGTTGACGTACCACGTGTTGGAAGGTGATCTTCAATCCCTTTGGACGGCCGGAGGGGACAGGTGGTGCCTAGAAATTGATTAAGGCCGTTTGTGGGGTCCGTTAAACAGCTAGAACACGGGATTTTAAACTTAAATGGACCCACACAGACCTTTAGAGGCGCCAACTCAGCAATTGCTTCATCACAGTGGAATCTGTTTGGCCCAACTATTATTTCAATTTAATCCCGTTACGTTTATTTAATTCTGTTTAGTAATAAAAGCACATACATTTAATTAACTTTACATTATTTGTCCAACAACTGAACGATTTCAATTTTAAGAACTACAAATTAATTTCAAGTACTATCTCTATTCCCAATTTATGTTCAGTATTCAGAGTATCAGCCGGATATATATTAAGCATTTAAAAATAAAAGTTACATATTTAAAAAATACATAAAATTTACTATAAGTGAATGTAGTTAATAACTAACATATAGAAAAAGTTTGAACAAATTTATAATTGAAGAAAATATTATTTGATTTCCCAATAGTAGTACCTTCACATAAAGTGAGACTAATGGAGTAATAACTTTCATCTCGACCTAAATCTAATCTTTATGTTTTCCCTTGATTGGTTCAAAATAGTAGCCATATTAGAATAAAATCTAACCACTATACTATA